CTGGTCCATGACTGGGGCTCATAGGCATTGTGGTAATACACATAATAAATAATAGTAACCCATGAACCCTGACAGGACATATAGGCGGTGTATTAAGCTTGAGCTGGAGAGCTGTGTGTATGCACAGGTGTTGGGTTGGAGCAACATTCGAGTTATACCTCAAGCTAACACTTCAGTGAAGACAAGCCCCAATTTATCTGGTTTTACTCCAGGACTACCTTTTGGGATCATGCAGATTGGTGCCATGGGCCACAGTTTACATCTGGGGCCCTTGAAATTCTCATTTACATTTTCAGCTTTCATTGTTTAAAAAAAAAAAAAGTCTCAAGCCATTTCCTTGGGTGGATACACTTTCCATGGGAACAAACGCATCAACCGTAGACTAATCTCTATAGGTATGTGTGTTCTGCAATCAGGCTGTGTGATTGCAGCACACATAGACATGCCCAGTCTAGCTTTGATCTATCCTGAGTAACAATAGCAGTGAAACTGTGGCAGCATGGGGGGCTAGCCCCACCTGCCCAGGAACCTAAATACATGCTCAAGCAGCCCCTACTTTGCTGCCACAGCTTTACTACTATCATTACTCAAGCTAGCAATGATCAAGCTAGATGAAAGCTAGCTCGGGTATATTTACACGTGCAGCCATCACCCGACTGCAGCATAGAGATAGTCTAAACAGCGTGTAACTGATTTTTCTCTAAAGGTCACTGGTTGTTCAGAGCTGCCATCACATTCCCGCACCCCACCCCAGGACAGGCATTGGGATCAACAAAAAGCAGGTCTAAAAGTCTCTCTGTTTGTGGGAGGACCTCAGCTAAGTTCATGAAGTGTTTAGGGGTGAAGAGTTCCACCTAATTTTGAACCCGAAATATACCACTACTACATGTTTTTGTTGCATTTCTCTCAAAAGTCTTGCTGGGCTCTGAATATTTTTATTTATTTATATTTTTGCTGAAGTAATCGTGGTATGGTATTGCTACTACTGATCTAGTCTTCATGTATTTGATAGGGTGGCAATGAAAAACTCACATCACACATGCAAACAAATTACATCCATGAAAATTACTTTGGTATGGCTTAGCCAGAAGACAACAATGTTTAAATGGTTGTGTCCTGGCTTAGCTCAAAGAAATCCTGAAATGGATTTGCAGCCATCCTTTTTCGCCACCTAATAGAGGTGTGAGAAGCCTGGGGAAAGGATGAAGATTAATTATTAGAAAAGGTGGGGGAATAAAATTTTGATTTATCAATGCCATTTTTCATGTTTTCTGGCTGAAGCAGAATTCATGGAATATGTAATCAGGTTGACAAATATATCATGAAGCAGAGGTTAAATAAACAACCTCTGGTGAAAACTATCTAGACTAACTTAACATAATAAAATGTTGCATGAAGCAGAAAATTCTATGACAGTTTGGTATACGGGGTATTCATTCTCTTTCAGTAAGAGGACATTTATTACCCACTAACTGTGTCTTGGTGCTCAAGCAAGACAGATGATGTGGTGACAGATATTCAAGATTGTGAGCTAATATTCAGTCTTTTATAGAAAGCAGCGTCTCTTTATTATTTGCGAACAACTTGCTGCTTTTATTACTCTCTGGGAATGGAGTTGTGCAGTTGTTGCTGAAGTGTCAGAATGGAGGAGGGGAAGCTAGAGACTTTACCTCCCGACCTTGAATTTTTATTTCATGCCTGACATGGCTCAAATCTATGGGTATGTCTACACTACGGAATAAGGTCAAATTTATAGAAGTCGATTTTTTAGAAATCGGTTTTATATATTCGAGTGTGTGTGTCCCCACAGAAAATGCTCTAAGTGCATTAAGTGCATTAACTCGGCAGAGCGCTTCCACAGTACCGAGGCTAGAGTCGACTTCCGGAGCGTTGCACTGTGGGTAGCTTTCCCGCAGTCTCCGCTGCCCATTGGAATTCTGGGTTGAGATCCCAATGCCTGATGGGGCTAAAACATTGTCGCGGGTGGTTCTGGGTACATATCGTCAGGCCCCCGTTCCCTCCCTCCCTCCGTGAAAGCAAGGGCAGACAATCATTTCGCGCCTTTTTTCCTGAGTTACCTGTGCAGACGCCATACCACTGCAAGCATGGAGCCCGCTCAGGTAACCGTCACCCTATGTCTCCTGGGTGCTGGCAGACGCGGTACGGCTTTGCTGCACAGTAGCAGCAACCCATTGCCTTCTGGCAGCAGACGGTGCAATACGACTGGTAGTCGTCCTCGTCATGTCCGAGGTGCTCCTGGCCACGTCGGCTGGGAGTGCCTGGGCAGACATGGGCGCAGGGACTAAATTTGGAGTGACTTGACCAGGTCATTCTCTTTAGTCCTGCAGTCAGTCCTATTGAACCGTCTTATGGTGAGCGGGCAGGCGATACGGACTGCTAGCAGTGGTACTGTACCATCTTCTGCCAGGCAGGCAAGAGATGAGGATTGCTAGCAGTCGTATTGTACCATCTTCTGCCAGGCAGGCAAGAGATGAGGATGGCTAGCAGTCGTACTGTACCGTCTTCTGCCGAGCAGCCATGAGATGTGGATGGCATGCAGTCCTTCTGCACCGTCTGCTGCCAGCCAAAGATGTAAAAGATAGATGGAGTGGGTCAAAACAAGAAATAGACCAGATTTGTTTTGTACTCATTTGCCTCCTCCCCTGTCTAGGGGACTCATTCCTCTAGGTCACACTGCAGTCACTCACAGAGAAGGTGCAGCGAGGTAAATCTAGCCATGTATCAATCAGAGGCCAGGCTAACCTCCTTGTTCCAATAAGAACGATAACTTAGGTGCACCATTTCTTATTGGAACCCTCCGTGAAGTCCTGCCTGAAATACTCCTTGATGTACAGGCACCCCCTTTGTTGATTTTAGCTCCCTGAAGCCAACCCTGTAAGCCGTGTCGTCAGTCGCCCCTCCCTCTGTCAGAGCAACGGCAGACAATCGTTCCGCGCCTTTTTTCTGTGCGGACGCCATACCAAGGCAAGCATGGAGGCCGCTCAGCTCACTTTGGCAATTAGGAGCACATTAAACACCACGCACATTATCCAGCAGTATATGCAGCACCAGAACCTGGCAAAGCGATACCGGGCGAGGAGGCGACGTCAGCGCGGTCACGTGAGTGATCAGGACATGGACACAGATTTCTCTGAAAGCATGGGCCCTGCCAATGCATGCATCATGGTGCTAATGGGGCAAGTTCATGCTGTGGAACGCCGATTCTGGGCTCGGGAAACAAGCACAGACTGGTGGGACCGCATAGTGTTGCAGGTCTGGGACGATTCCCAGTGGCTGCGAAACTTTCGCATGCGTAAGGGCACTTTCATGGAACTTTGTGACTTGCTTTCCCCTGCCCTGAGGCGCATGAATACCAAGATGAGAGCAGCCCTCACAGTTTAGAAGCGAGTGGCGATAGCCCTGTGGAAGCTTGCAACGCCAGACAGCTACCGGTCAGTTGGGAATCAATTTGGAGTGGGCAAATCTACTGTGGGGGCTGCTGTGATGCAAGTAGCCCACGCAATCAAAGATCTGCTGATATCAAGGGTAGTGACCCTGGGAAATGTGCAGGTCATAGTGGATGGCTTTGCTGCAATGGGATTCCCTAACTGTGGTGGGGCTATAGACGGAACCCATACCCCTATCTTGGCATCGGAGCACCAAGCCGCCGAGTACATAAACCGCAAGGGGTACTTTTCGATAGTGCTGCAAGTTCTGGTGGATCACAAGGGACGTTTCACCAACATCAACGTGGGATGGCCGGGAAAGGTGCATGATGCTCGCATCTTCAGGAACTCTGGTCTGTTTCAAAAGCTGCAGGAAGGGACTTTATTCCCAGACCAGAAAATAACTGTTGGGGATGTTGAAATGCCTATATGTATCCTTGGGGACCCAGCCTACCCCTTAATGCCATGGCTCATGAAGCTGTACACAGGCAGCCTGGACAGTAGTCAGGAGCTGTTCAACTACAGGCTGAGCAAGTGCAGAATGGTGGTAGAATGTGCATTTGGACATTTAAAGGCGCGCTGGCGCAGTTTACTGACTCGCTTAGACCTCAGCGAAACCAATATTCCCACTGTTATTACTGCTTGCTGTGTGCTCCACAATATCTGTGAGAGTAAGGGGGAGATGTTTATGGCGGGCTGGGAGGTTGAGGCAAATCGCCTGGCTGCTGGTCACATGCAGCCAGACACCAGGGCAGTTAGAAGAGCACAGGAGGGCGCGGTACGCATCAGAGAAGCTTTGAAAACCAGTTTCATGACTGGCCAGGCTACGGTGTGAAAGTTCTGTTTGTTTCTCCTTGATGAAACCCCCCGCCCCTTGGTTCACTCTACTTCCCTGTAAGCTAACCACCCGCCCCTCCTCCCTTCAATCACCGCTTGCAGAGGCAATAAAGTCATTGTTGCTTCACATTCATGCATTCTTTATTCATTCATCACACAAATAGGGGGATGACTACCAAGCTAGCCCAGGAGGGGTGGTGGAGGAGGGAAGGAAAATGCCACACAGCACTTTAAGCACAGCACTTTAAAAGTTTACAACTTTAAAATTTATTGAATGACTGCCTTCTTTTTTGGGGGCAATCCTCTGTGGTGGAGTGGCTGGTTGGCCGGAGGCCCCCCTACTGCGTTCTTGGGCGTCTGGGTGTGGAGGCTATGGAACTTGGGGAGGAGGGCGGTTGGTTACAGAGGGGCTGCAGTGGCAGTCTGTGCTCCAGCTGCCTTTGCTGCAGCTCAACCATACACTGGAGCATACTGGTTTGGTCCTGCAGCAGCCTCAGCATTGAATCCTGCCTCCTCTCATCACGCTGCCGCCACATTTGAGGTTCAGCCCTGTCTTCAGCCCGCCACTTACTCTCTTCAGCCCACCACTTACTCTCTTCAGCCCGCCACCTCTCCTCCCGGTCATTTTGTGCTTTCCTGCACTCTGACATTATTTGCCTCCACGCATTCGTCTGTGCTCTGTCAGTGTGGGAGGACAGCATGAGCTCGGAGAACATTTCATCGCGAGTGCGTTTTTTTTCTTTCTAAGCTTCACTAGCCTCTGGGAAGGAGAAGATCCTGTGATCATTGAAACACATGCAGCTGGTGGAGAAAAAAAAAGGGACAGCGGTATTTAAAAAGACACATTTTATAAAACAGTGGCTACACTCTTTCAGGGTAAACCTTGCTGTTAACATTACATACATAGCACATGTGCTTTCATTACAAGGTCGCATTTTGCCTCCTCCCACCGCGTGACTACCCCCTCAACCTTCCCCCCTCCCTGTGGCTAACAGCGGGGAACATTTCTGATTAGCCACAGGCAAACAGCCCAGCAGGAATGGGCTCCTCTGAGTGTCCCCTGAAGAAAACCACTCTATTTCAACCAGGTGACCATGAATTAGATCTCACTCTCCTGAGGATAACACAGAGAGATAAAGAACGGATGTTGTTTGAATGCCAGCAAATATACACTGCAGTGCTTTGTTCTACAATGATTCCCGAGTACGTGTTACTGGCCTGGAGTGGTAAAGTGTCCTACCATGAAGGACGCAATAAGGCTGCCCTCCCCAGAAACCTTTTGCAAAGGCTTTAGGACTACATCTAGGAGAACCGCAAATGCCAGGGCAAAGTAATCCTTTCACATGCTTGCTTTTAAACCATGTATAGTATTTTAAAAGGTACACTCAGCAGAGGTCCCTTCTCCGCCTGCTGGGTCCAGGAGGCAGCCTTGGGTGGGTTGGGGGGTACTGGCTCCAGGTCTAGGGTGAGAAACAGTTCCTGGCTGTCGGGAAAACCGGTTTCTCCGCTTGCTTGCTGTGAGCTATCTACAACCTCCTCATCATCATCATCTTCTTCGTCCCCAAAACCTGCTTCCGTATTGCCTCCATCTCCATTGAAGGAGTCAAACAACACGGCTGGGGTAGTGGTGGCTGAACCCCTAAAATGGCATGCAGCTCATCATGGAAGCGGCATGTTCGCCTCTCTGGTTTTCTGGTAGGCTTGCCTCAGCTCCTTCAGTTTCACGCGGCACTGCTTCGGGTCCCTGTTATGGCCTCTGTCCTTCATGCCCTGGGAGATTTTCACAAAGGTTTTGGCATTTCGAAAACTGGAACGGAGTTCTGATAGCACAGATTCCTCTCCCCAAACAGCGATCAGATCCCGTACCTCCCGTTCGGTCCATGCTGGAGCTCTTTTGCGATTCTGGGACTCCATCATGGTCACCTGTGCTGATGAGCTCTGCATGGTCACCTGCAGCTTGCCACGCTGGCCAAACAGGAAATGAGATTCAAAAGTTCGCGGTTCTTTTCCTGTCTACCTGGCCAGTGCATCTGAGTTGAGAGTGCTGTCCAGAGCGGTCATAATGGAGCACTCTGGGATAGCTCCCGGAGGCCAATACCATCGAATTGTGTCCACAGTACCCCAAATTCGAGCCGGCAACGTCGATTTAAGCGCTAATCCACTTGTCAGGGGTGGAGTAAGGAAATTGATTTTAAGAGCCCTTTAAGTCGAAATAAAGGGCTTCATTGTGTGGACGGGTGCAGGTTTACATCGATTTAACGCTGCTAAATTCGACCTAAAGTCCTAGTGTAGACCAGGGCTATGAGAATGCCAAAGCAATTTTTCCTGCCTTCCTATTATCCCAACATATATGTAGACTTTTCAAAGACCTATCCAGTGACCATATCATTCTATCTGAGTTCAATGCAGAACAAGAAGCATGTTGTACTTATTTGAAATGTTGGTATTTGTGAGATGTTACCTTATATTTTAATAGAATGTAGTCATCCTAAATGCACAAACTCCTCCTAGACTATTAGGAGCTGAAGAATGTGGCTATACAATATTGCACTCCAAAAGGATGGTTATGGATGCACAATAAAGTGACAGAGAGGAACTTAGATGATACAAAATATTAGTGACCTCTATACAGACAGGCAAAGAGAATATGACTTTATAGAATACTTGCCTGAATTTTGTACATTTACATGGAAAAGCTCAGTTAGAGGAATGATTCATTTCTCAAATGAGACTTGTTTTGGATACATATGTTTTTTCAGACAGGTAGCTTACCTAGGAGCTGGATCCATTGAAGTTAATGAGATTCTACCCAAGGACTTAAAAGGGCATTGGATAAGTCTCCTAATTACTCTATTTATGCATAGACCCTCTCCATATTTTAACTATCAGCAAAGCGGCATAGTCTGTGGATGCTCCAGAAACCTTCCAAGTTTCACAACAATCAAGGCTGGTCTATTTAAGCCTCTTGGGATTTCACCTTATATGACAGCTTAATTTATTGGTTGTGACATTCAGGGTATAGAAAATATCAGGGGTACATGTTCAGTGTATGCTGCCTTGGCTGACTGATAGTCAGATCAGAAGAGCAGATACTTAAAGTGGCTTATAACAGAAAGATAGCATCACCTTTGCTAATAGTTCTGTTATGATGGCTCTACTGGGTGGAAGATTTCTTCCCCAAATCACTGGAGAATTTAAAGAGGAGAGAAGGAAGAGTCAGATAAGCCCCTCTGATATGACAGTGGATGGGAGATGCCCACTACCATGATCAGGTGATTGGGGGATTTGAGCAACTCCCAGCAAGAAGCTGGGGAGGGAAGAGATCACATAAATTCAAAACCATTGTTATTATGGATACTGAATAACACCTGTTAAGAGTCATCCCCATTATAAGCACTTCACTCAAACAATATGCCCATATAAGGATGAGGATGTACTGAGAACTGGAAGAAGTTATGTAAACAAGTAGACACATGCTCTATGGAAGCAGCATAACTTTTCAGAGGACCGCGGCCAATTGTTACCACACTTCATTTCTTTAACTGATTAAAGCAATATTAACAGCAAACGTTTACAGCTGCCTCACACAGGTAGCATTCAGAAAAACGAAAATAGCCCGCTCAGTGTAAGGGAATACAGATGGGGCTTAAACAAGTAGGTGAACAAACTGAACAACAATGTTTTAGCCCCATTGCAGCTGTGGGTGAGATTGGAACAAGAGCACAAGGAATGAGAGGGAGGAAAAGGATACAATTAGCCTTCACCCCACTTTTTGCATGGGTCAGACATCGTTTTGGTCCTTGCACACCATAAGTGCAAAGGGCAATGCCAGTCCTTCTGCATTAGCCTCTGCATGGCCAGTGAGAAGAGCACGTGCACCACTTGCATAAGGTTCTAACAAGAGCCTCTCTGCATCTTGCTCCCTGAAAATCCCCATAGGAATTGTGCCTCCCCGTGCCACAATTTTTCCAGCAGATCCCCTCTTCACTGGATACCACCTAGAGTGAACAGTGTTCCCAAAACACAGCTGCTAGGAATTGTGTTGCCAAGCTGGAGGTACCCCAGGATCCTTTCATTCCTTAGGCTACCAGAGACCACAATAAGCAGAATGATGACCATATTCTGCTCCAGAAAGTGCTGATATTTGAGCTGGGGAGGGGAAATTCACCCATTTAGTACACTTCTGCCAAAAGCTTGTGGTTTACTGTCTGGCCTGTAGTAGGAATCCTAAATCAAGTTTCCACCCCTCGTTGTGCCAGGTGAGGAATATATTCTACCAACTCACGTCCTTAAAGAAATTTGCAGTTGGTGGGAAGATGTACATTGCACAGAGGAAGGACTGCATACAGCGTTCAGAGTAGCAGCCGTGTTAGTCTGTATTCGCAAAAAGAAAAGGAGTACTTGTGGCACCTTAGAGACTAACCAATTTATTTGAACATAAGCTTTCGTGAGCTATGCATCCGATGGAGTGAGCTGTAGCTCACGAAAGCTTATGCTCAAATAAATTTGTTAGTCTCTAAGGTGCCACAAGTACTCCTTTTCTTTTTGCACACAGTGTGTTTATGTGTCTCATAACTTGGCACTGGTGTGATTCCTCTCTTGGGAATTGTGTTATGTGGTGGCCTCTCTCAAGCTGTACAGAAGTCTATATATAAGAAAGGTGGAGTATAAGAAGAAGCAGAATCATATGTAGCAATTTCAGAGCTTCATGGTTAGTTCCTATGTCAGTTAAAGAGAAAAGCAAGCATAGCAGATGGTATTTAGCAAGCTGCAATTAGAGGTGGCCCCAAACCCATACTCTGGATCCCATCAACACAAACTTTGGAGCACTTGAAATCTGGAACTGGATCAGAATTTTTGCACCCACCGAAAATGCACAACAGCAGCTCCTGGCCCACGGGGCTGGGCCTGGTTCCCTGCTCTGGGCATTGTAACCGGGAGGGAACAAACATTATAGCAGCACCCTCAGCTAATAACGCTAATACATCCCATAACGCTAATACAGCCTGGGTGAGGAGGGGAGACTCTCTGGGGACGGGGGCAGGACTGGAGAGTGAGCCTACCTGGAGAGCAAGCCCACCCTGTACTCACCCCACAGTGAGGAACTGGCTACCCCTCATGCGCCAGGAGCTGTTGCTGCTGGGTGAATAGGGACAGGTTTACTCTCCATCTCTACGCACAGGCTGGGATTAGGGGTGCAGTGTTAGGGATGCTGTTGTTGTGCCCCCTCAGCAGAGGAAGGAGAACAAGGTAGTGAAGGGGAAGGAGTGCACCCACAGAATTGGGAGGCTCCATACAACACTGTTTGGGGCCCATCTCTAATTTAAATTTAATAAATCATTTATTAAACCTATTTTGGAATCTGCAGTGGAAAACATGAACACTCATATTAAGAAGAAATGTATCCTCTTCCATCATAACCTCTTTATCTAGAATACACTAGTGGTAGCGTTGGGATCCCTGGCTAAAGGAGAAAAATTCTCAAGGCACAGGCCAGGATTTAGATGACTCTCTCCTCTGACTGTTGCCCCATCACATACTGTATCATCCTTACTTCTAACTTCACCAGCCATGAGGAAAACAGCTCATTATGTCACTTCCAGCAGTGCACACAAGGAAAAGAAATCTTGTAGTTATGGCACACAGTGAGTTCAATTGGGTCTTTCAAGCCCAGCCCCACTTTGAGGGCAAGGAAGAGCTCTATCATCCTAGTGGGAGTCCCAGGAAGAATTCTTCCTCAGGAGCATGAGTTTCACAGTGCACAAATGAAGTATTTTTTACTTCTTCTCATAATACAAGAACTAGGGGGGTCACCAAATGAAATTAATAGGCAGCAGGTTTAAAACAAACAAAAGGAAGTATTTCTTCACAGAACCCACAGTCAACCTCTGAAACTCTTTGCCAGAGGATGTTGTGAAGGCCAAGACTATAACAGGGTTCAAAAAAGAACTAGATAACTTCATGTAGGATAGGTCCATCAATGGCTATTAGCCAGGATGGGCAGGGATGGTGTCCCTAGCCTCTGTTTGCCAAGAGCTGGGAATGGGCGACAGGGAATGGGTCACTTGATGATTACCTGTTCTGTTCTTTCCCTCTGGGACACCTGGCATTGTCAACTGTTGGAAGACAGGATACTGGGCTATATGGACCTTTGGTCTGACCCAGTAGGGCCATTCTTATGTTTCTCCCCTCCTGCCCAGCCACATCCTGTCAGTGGGTGAAACCTACCTAATGACCACAGCAGAGCTAGCCAAGGCCCCACTTCCCACTTGGGGAAAAATTAGAAACTGAGACAACCTAGTGACACTGGAATTGTGCTTGTCCAATCCTCACACTGAGACATCTCCTAGAGCAGACTATAGCAGAGGGCCTACAGCAGACCTGGGCATAAGAAGAGCCTGTGCAGTGGGACTTCAGCTTTCTGCC